AATAAATAATAATTATAATAAACATTCTCCTAAAATTGCTTTTGCTTGCTTCTTCTCCAAAATTTTCTTTGCTGCTCCCACACTTGAGTAACAGATAAAAAAGCATACATAATAAGTATTTGTTATTATTATATTCATTGTGCAATTGATAATTATAAAATATTTAATTTACCATTTGTTCCTTCTGCGACTGATACTAATACTAACCAAAGCTGTGGCCTGTCACCTGGAAAAAAAAGAAAATAATTAAATTACATAATATCACATGACCATTAAACATATAATTAAAGAAAAAGCTTACCAAGCAACTTTCATTGTCTACTTTATACGTTTCTATCCTTGGAATATCATTGAAAGTATTTTTTTTCAAATGACAATTCAATAGATTGGTGAAGTCGTCAATTCATTTTAAAACCTGACTCCTAAAGCTCCGGATGGTTCTAGAAACGTTCATTATTACTAAGGTCATAAGATATCAAGAGATGTGGGTTACAAATCAATAAGTATTATAGACCTTGGGTTATTCCGTTATTTTTGATACTATCGATTAAAAGATTTAGAATTTTCTTTAGCAGCATTTAAATTAATATTTACTACTAATTAGATTCTTGTTATTATTATTATTATTACATTTAAAATAAAGGAAATTTAGATTTTGCGCATGTAACTGTGCACTTTTAAAATTTTACTAATTGATTTTACCCAACCGTAATAGTTAGTTGCCCATTCCATTAGAGTCCCTCATACTATGTATTTTAAGTATTAGTTGATTTTTGCTATGGTGATTGAACACATGTCATCACAGTATTCAGCATTTCCTTCCATCTAAGGTAATATTCCCTAATGAGAGTTATGGATGTCTGAAATGGTTTGTATTATTTTATTGATAATTAAAAATGGCAACAAAAGGCAAGTGAACAGAAACAATCGAGGAAGTTGATAAAGTTGACAAGACTAAACGAAACAAACAAAAGTAAAATATTTACACACATATAAGTTCTGACACCAAAAACGCGTAAAGAAACGACAGTTTCTTAAAGATGTTGGCTATAAAGTATTTTACAAGCTTCTAATACCCTGTATAAAATTAAAAAGGTTAATCCGACTTCATAGAGCCTTAGGATATGA